TGGGCCAGGGTAAATTTATTTTTCATAAACTATGGATATTGATATGAAAAATACACTTAGAGCTTGCCCCCTGAAACCAGGAGTGACGTATTTTGAGTTAGGCTGTTCACATTTTGATTTCTTCATAGGCAAGCAAAGAGTCAAATTGGATTATTTTTCTTTATTTAGAGGCCTCGTCAAAAACCGTGGATAGTTTATGACACTTGTGATGGTGAATTTATATGCTTTGTTTCCGGGGGATATGATTCATATGATGCATGGCACAAGCTCGCGGCTCCGATAGAGAAATTTAGCTGGTTCAAGGACACGGATTCGGGTGGCCTTATAGAATTATGTCAGATGATGAGCATGTTTTAAGGCTGCTGACAATGCTTTGGCGGCGACTTTAGTAGCAGAAAAGACTTGCTCTTATTCTTGATGGAGTATATGCCCCGTCTCTAACTTATGAGGATAGACTGACACGAAACTTAGCATGAGTCGGGCTTATGAGAAGGCTCTGTAGAGCATCTATTAATAAGCAGATGTCTCAGATGGAATAGGGAGGCACAAAGAGACTATTCCACAGAAAGCCTTAATAAGATTACTTCCAAGCAAATGCAAGTCTCAGAATGAGCTTTATGGGCATGCTTCCTTCACTTAGCCTAGTCAGAACATGGTGTACCAAAAGAAACACAGAGTCTAAGGTAATTTAATGGTTTCCGTCATTTGGACGGTTTGCAATGAGCGTCCATCCGGTTCTTTCTGTCTGATGCCCTTGCGCATCTCTGGCCAAATGACTCGTTTATTGTTCCTTCTCCCGCTGTGTTCATCGTCAAAAATGATTCATACAAATAGACTCCTGATTAAATCTAAGTTGCGTTGCCCGATAAATAAACTGGTTTAACCTCATGCTAAATAATCTATTCTCAAGGGAGAAAAAATGAACCGCACCCACCCAGCCACCTTTGGGCATGATCCTCAGCCCGCCTGATATGGTCCAACAGGAACTGAATGCGTGTGCGCACGATTGTCTGCCCGAGTGTTTGGGTAGACAGAAGATGCCTGCCTGTGACAGCACCCGTTTATCCGCCTAGTGGAACTTAACAGAACTAGTTAAATAGCCCATGACAGTAACATATCGGTTGTCTGATTAAGTTTGTCAGGAGCACTCACCCCTAGCAATCGCCTTTGCGTCCGGAGCCATATGAATGCTCCGTCATCCGCAAATCTCGCACTAGCAGGGCTGACAAGGACTCGCCCTCTCGTTTCATCTTTCGTGCTTTTGCTCCCTCTCCTGTTACCCCTTTACCTTTCCACTCCTTGTTCTTCCGTTCTCTTACAGGCCGACAGTGCAACTAAGTGACGGCCCAGTTAACCTCAGACAGCTAGCAAGCAACCATTCGAGGGGCAGACTCACAACAGCCCCAAATTCGAAACAAGCCAAAGCGTCTGTCTTGACTGCGGCAATCGACATGGCTCCAATTTAGGTGCCTGCCCAGCCCATCTGCTCTTCTATTCGCGCATAGTCTAGGCCACAGGCAACCTTTAGGTAGTTATAAAGTTGGTGTTTGGCGAATTATAAAGCGTAATGATGGTGAACATGTTGAGGGGAAAATAAAGAGTAAAGAAGTAGTGGGCGAAACGTAAAGAAATATTATGGATCGAAGGGACTAAAAAGAGAAAGAGAGAAGATCAGTCAAGCAGAAAGCACTCAAGACCGACTCTCCTGAAAGGAAACAGACATTGAGGCAAAAGGCATATTAGTAAACGCCAAACATATCGAATGAGTGATTCAACAGAGGAATGAGGGAAATAAATGAGTGTGAATAAAACTAAAGAGACACGTTCGCCACAGGTTTTCTCTAAGACAAACAAGCAACGAAGGGCTATTTAATAAAGTTGATAGGTATATCAAGGTCCCGAGGAGCTTACATAATACAAATAAGGCAATGCAATTAATGAGACAGAGGTAGGCAGATTTTTATGCCTTTACTTAAGATCGTGTCTGTATATGAGTGTGCATTCAAATGAGGTAGTGAGAATGAAGATCTGCATCCTTCGTGTCCCTATACTTGTTAGTTTATACGTAAAATGTAATACGAAACACTTTGGCATAGGAGAAAAAAAGATAGGTAAAATATGAGGTGTCGCTCCGCCAGGAATAAACACTTTATTAAAGCTTATTTCGATTTAATCAATTGAAATATGCTGGTCGCAAGTGACTGTGATAGATAATAAATTAAACTACTAACCACTCTGGGGGGCCGGGCACAAACGTCGAAGTGTCCCTTTGATTGTATTAACAGATCTTGGGCAAAATAAGGTGTTTAGATGATGTGTTATCAAGCAGATGCTCCATATGCCAGTAAACTGTTGGCAAAGAAATGAATGGTTGGTTAGCTTGCTAGCTCGTGTTAGTTGGAGGTCTTCCGATGATAGAAAACTGCCTCGGGCTCATTTAATGGGAACCAATAGAATCTTTAGAAGTTAAGTCAATCTGATGTGTCGGAGAAAATGGTGTATTACCTTTGTTTCTAGATGACTTATACTTCGAGCATTCCGTCGATTCAGATCATATGCGATTCACGATGGAACTCTAAATAGAACTATATACAGAAATATCCAGATCGTGGCAGACGAGGTCATTTACTAGGGATAATAAAGTATCTTCTAGAATTGAGTGAAAAAATAATTACCGCTTCTAAAGCACACACGAGTTAGTGTAAAATAATCTGTTCTAAGCAGAAAGAGAACTCTGAAAAATGTACAAGTTGGGGCAAAAGTTTGTCAAAAAACTGCCACGATATTATACATATTTAGTGGCACTACTAACAAGTAGTCTGGCTTCTTTAGGAAAATGTTATCAAATCGGTTACGGCTCCGGAATCTGTAATGCCACATTCTGGCGAGGAGTGATAAGGCGTTTTGTCTGAAGATCCTGCCGTCTTTTCTTCATTCTCTAGCCAGTCAAGTTCAGCTTTGAGATCGACGGCCAACCTGTCCAGACCAGCACTAAGGCATTTAAAGGCGTCTAACATAGGCAACGTGACGATAGAAGCGATCTGGTTAATCGCCATGGTTGCGCCTTAGACGAAAATGTGACAAAACGAAATAAAAAAAGTTTACTCTGCAAAATTAAGCAATAGATCAAAATATTTTAAAAATAGGCTAAAATTATAGCCCTGATAGTGAGCAAAGGAAAAAAACAATTCCAATCATGGATTAGAGTAAATGTAAAATTTCCAAAGAATAATTCAATTGTCAGCAAAAATAATAAAAGCAATCCTCGTAAACAAATAGTTAAAAGTGCGTAGTAAATAAAAAGTAGAAAATCCATTCAGATAACTAGTAACACCAAACCCGCTAAGGCGCCACCAAGTCTTTGAGTAAGTCGATCTAAATCCACATGTATGAAAAGTTGCAACCCGCGAAAAAAGTGGGCATTAAATTTAGTACAGAAGGAATCTGGATTATAACCTTATAATTTTAACCAAGTGAATTTACTACGTTTTCTGAACTTTTTTAGTTTCGTCAGAGCAACCTCGATTCACGCACCTTGACTAGAAACCCATGCCATAATAGCCGTGATAATTTTCAATGTCAAACCACGGACTTCGTAAAATGACTGGCGTTTCGATAGCTTCGTTAATGCACTAAGCTGCAACTCGTAAAAGGAATAAGTCAAGTCCATCATTTGACCAACTTCTAGCTGTTCTGGTACATCTGCCCGCAAACTAGTCTCGTGACGCCCTCCCTCCCTAGTATGACCAAAAACTCGAATATGCTGAACTACTCGACATGTGCCCCTTTAAACGAGTTTATTGATACATTCTCACAATTTCCCGCCGGTTTTCTTTATTCCATACCGGTGAGCCAGAAATGCTGATCCGATTTAGGTCTTTATAGTTTACAAACTACTATATGTAACCTCATATAAGCCTCGAGTAAAATGAAGGCAGGGCTTGGGTCGAATTAAATGAGTCAAATAAAGAAATAAGAAATAGATCTTCAATGGCAAAGGGAGTAATAGTAGTAGTTTGCAGACTAGAAAGTGCAAAATCGAATCAGGGGGAGAGGAAACCAACAGGAAAATCTAAAAAAGCCTCACCAAAAGAGTTCAGGCGGGTACACCTGTGGAATAAACCAATGTATGTTAGAAAGTATGATAGCGTAAAGAGATACAAGGATAAAAAGCAGGAGGATGTACCAAGAGAGAGGCGATACGGAAATCGTTCAATAGAAAGCTGGTCAAAAGACTTATCCTGTCACTGCAACGAGTAGTAACCTGGTACTAAAACTGGAAAGGGGCCCTAAGAATGACAGTAAAACGGCTGGTATTGAACCAAATAACATGGCTACTATGGCAAAACACTCAGGATAAGGTGGGTTCATCGAGATCACTCTGACAACAAGAGCAAGTTATGAAAATGATATAAAATCACTTCTATACATCAAAAGTAAGGCACAGCACCTTGGTCTTCATACCTGAAATTTACAATCTCATTAAATGAGATGTATTCATCCTATTTAATTTAAGCTGGTAGTTAACTTTTCCAACAATGATGTAAGTGAACCTTACGCTTCAATTGAATTTAACATAGCCCTGCTTTCCCCAAAAGTATTTTAATCCAGGCTGGAATGGATTGCTATTTCGACCTTGCCTAGGGCTTATCAGCACTCCCAGTGGAACTCGAACCAAGACAATTCAATGTATAGGCGCAACACTTTAATCGCTACACCACACTACATCGAGTGCTCTTGGATAACAGGGCAGGTGTAAATTTCACTGAAAGTCCGATATTTTCCCACATCACATTCTATTATCGGATTATCGATGAAACAAAGTTGCATTTGCTATAGCAATCTACTACACTAAGTATTTTTCATTGTTAAGTATGTTTTAGGGACTAATAGTAGCTTGACATGGTTCGAGTCCCGTTGGGGTCCTGAGGTCCAAACTACCGTCAACCCTGGATGAGAATACCTTTCGTACAAGCATCGTCATGTAAAATTCAAAGGATACGTAAGTTCTATCCATATTACTGCAGGAAAATTCAAATACCAGCTTCGTTATCACCATAAACGAAATATAGTGAATACATCTAATATGTGAGTTGCTGGTAGTATAGAAAACCTGTTTTAAAAACAAAAAATAAGTAATGTAGTTGAATTTTCTTCATCGAAAATCCCACAATGATATGGGAAAAGGCCTGGAATTCCTTGGGATTCATATCTTATACCGTAGCTATGCCGATCAAGATGAGGTGACCTTCTTGTTGGACGAAGTCTTATTGTATAATTATCGTAGTCTTCATATCTTAG